ATTTGTTGTCATTTCAATCATTTGTTGTACTAGACTTCAGGATGTTTGGGAGACAGGGGATGGCAAGATCCTGTATAGCCAGTGTGGGCATGTGATAAGCGCCCAGGGCCAGAACCCCACCATCACCAAGGTGCTCAAGGTCCTGGGAAATCTTAAGTGAGAAAATGAATGTGAAGATGCTGGATTATGAGCACTTCCTACCCATGCCTCAGACTGGGGCCAAGAACAAGGACCAGGGCATCTATGAGGACTATATTGTAGGCCTTGGGATGTTTAAAAAGTAAGGGAATAGCACTGTCCTGGGAGCTGAAATTCAACATGTCCTTGTCACATTGGGTAAGATGACAGAGGAAGACGTAGATGATAGTGGTGAGGCTTGAGGATAGTAATGGTAGTTTCAACTATGCAAGTTTGTAGGGTGCTCAATGTCTGAGGGCAGCCGTTCCTGTGTCACTGTGTCTAGCCCTGAAAGCTGCCTCCATTGTCAGCACCGTTATCTCTCTCTGCTTGCCAGCAGCATTCACCAAATAAACTTGATCTCTGTGTATTTCCCTGTTTTCCGTATCAGTTAATGGCAATTTACTTGCTTTAGCCATTGGAGTTTTTCAGAGATTTCATAGGAATGTTCTATTTTTTGGAAAGCAAGTGAAACTTTACTTCCTCCTAGTGCTGGAGATAAAAGGAGTCTTGCCTCTTACTACCATTCTCTGTCACATTTCTGGTCTACATATGCAGTATTCATTAACCATGACTAATTCTAGGCTGAAGGGTCAGTGGTTGGTATTGGTGCCAGAGAAGATTTTATATTGTACCAGAAGGAAGCTAGATACCAAGAATGATTATCAGCAGTGCCTGTGGGGCAGGAACTTGGAGTTGTTGTTCTTCTTGTGTCCCTTGGAGTCACTTGCAACTCATAGCAACCTATGTACATCAGCTTTGAAGCCTGCCCTGTCTTGAGTCAGTCTCACTGACTCTGACACACCTACCCACATTGCCTTACTTACGTTATCAGTCTAACTCATCCTGGGCCTTGCTCTCTTGTGCTGTCCCTTCACCCTTCTGATCATGATGTCCTCCAGGGACTGGTCCCTTCTGGCCACATGCCCAAAGTGTATGAGATAGAGCTTCAAAGTCCTAGCCTCCAAGGAGAAATTTGGTTTCGCCATCTCCAAGAAATACCTATTTGTTTTCTTGTTGGTCCATGGTCAGTTCAAGACTCTTCTTGAGCACCACAACTCAAAGGTTTCAATTCTATCTTTTTTTGATGCTTTCTGTATCATTCCAGATTTTGCCCATAGTATCCTTCAGCATTGCAACTTGAGGCCTGAATTCTCAGTTCTTTCAGCTTGAAAAATGCTGACTGAGTTCTCTTATTTTCTGACTCTAGCTAGCTCTTTGCATGTTTCATGATAATACTTTATCTTCTTGAGATGTCCTTTGAAATCTGTTCATCTCTTTTACTTCACCTTATCTTCCCTTTGTTTTGGCTTCTCGATATTCTAGTTTAATTTCCAATTTGACATCCATTTTGGTTCTTTCTCCTGTCTTTGTAATGATCTTTTGCTTTCTACCTGGATATCATTAATAACATCCTACAATTTATCTGGCTTTCAATCATTAGTGGTCAGTGCGATAAAACCTATTCTTGAGATGCTTTTTTTAAAAAAAATTTTTTTTAAAAATTATTATTGTTTTGTGTGTACCGTCAAATCAGATCTGACTGGTACAGGAGGGGATTGCCCCTCCTTCTCTGGCAGAGCATCTGGTTTGAGATGCTTTTTAAAAAATCAGGAAGTATAAACTCAAGGTCTTATTTTGGTTCTTGTGGACTTATTTTTTCTTCAGCTTCAATTTAAACTTACACATGAGTAATTGATGGTCTGTTCCACAGTCAGCACATAGCCTGGTTTTGACTGATGACACTGAGCCGAGTCTCCAATGATTCTTTCGGCAGATGGAGTAAATCTGCTGCCTGTGTAGTCCCATCAGGTGAGGTCCATGTTTATAGTTGCCATTTTACAAATTTAAACTACAAATGAAATATTATCTCACTCAAGCAACAATAGCAAAGTTCAGTAAGGCAGCAGACACATGGTGGTGAGGATGTGGAACTGGAATCTTCATACACTGCTAGTTGAAAAATGTAAAATGCTGTGACCACTATGGAAAGCAGTTTGATGTTTCTTTAGAAAGCTGGAAGTAAAATACTCTTATCTAGCAATCCTACTAAGTATATATCCTGAAGTTAGAGCTGCCACATGAATAGACATGCATACTTATATTCATTGTAGCATTATTTATAACAGCAAAAAGATGGAAACACCACGAGTCTCTATCAACAAATGACTAAAGAAACTATGGTACATTCAAATGGAGTACTATGCAACACTGAAAGACGATTAAAAAAATTAATGAAAAAAATGAGCAGCATGCAGGAGCAATACCTTTATAAATTATTATCTAACTAGAGAGCATTATGCTGAGTGAACTCAGTCCCACAAGGATAAATATTGTATAAAACCGTTATTTTAGGATGAGTATAAGGATCCAGAAGGGTAGGAGAGACTGGAAGAAGAGGGATTTGGATGTGCAGGGGGAAGAGGAGGTTAATCATTGGGTTGTACAATTTGATGGGTGGGGGAAATTGAAAGAATTTGTTTGAATTTTTGTATTTGAGTTTTGTAAATAAACTAGTTAAAAAAATTAATGAAACACTGATTATTATCAGGACATTATGCTAAACAAAATACATTAGTCACAAAAAGGACTATTATATAAGACCACTATTATTAAAAAACCAAAACCAAAAAAACTAAGAAAAGGTTTTCACATACAATCATTCTTGGTTACCAAGGATAAGGCAGGAGAGGGGCATTGATAAAAATTGGTAAGTTGAGCAAGGGAAAGACAATATTCGATGAACTGATCAGAAACTGTAATTAATCATATTATGCAATTATCGCTTATAAGTAAAAATGTGTAAGGATTAGCAAATTAAATTGTAATTACAACAAAAAAGATGGCTGGGCCCAACTCTGCTTCAGCTGTGGGTCAGTTTGAACTTGAAGGTACAGAACAGTGAACTAGAACGTGCATTACTAAGCTTCCAGATGATGTTGATGGTTCCAGTCCAGGCACAACACTTGAAAGACCTAATCCTCTAGAAATAAATGGAAGACAGAAGGAGAATAATCATCCTTAGTGCTGTATCTTTAAAGGTCTAGGGCCAGACAATATTTAGAGAAATGTTTCCCCAAACAGCTAGTCTACAACTATTTACTCAAAGTTTGGTGCTGTAACTGCCTATACAAAAGAAAGTTACTGTTCAGTCATTTTCAAGACCCCATGTGTAGGGAGAATAGCTCCATAAGATTCTCCTGATGTGACCTTTCTGAAGCAAGAGCCTTGGGGTTACCAGTTGCTGTTACTCAGGGGCTTTAACTACTTAGATAAGAACACTCAAAATGCCTGCATGCAGGCAACACTCTACAGGGAAACATGGAGATGTAGTTAAGTGTTGGGCTGCCAATCCAAATCTATAGCTCTGGAAACCTAATGAAGAGGTTGGAATCAACTTGACATCCATCAGCGAGTTTGATTTAGGCACAGTGAATAGTGACTCACAGTGACCCTGTGGACAGTGAGCTTTCCGATAGTCTCCAAGGTTGTAAATCTTTACAGAAGTAGGTTGCTTCATCGTTCTCTCCCAGAGGGGATAGAGAATGGTAGATTCAAACTGCTGACCTTTCATTTAGCAGCCCAGTGCTTCATCACCATGCCATTACATGTCATCTGGTCATTCCAGGGCCTATAGTGAGTAGACATGTGTTTGGAAGCCATTTGATGAATCGGGAATTGGTGTGCAGATAGCACAGGAGAGGGCAGGGTTTTATTCTGTTGTGGAGGGTAAATGTGAGTCTGAGCTGACTGAATAGCATCTATCAATAAGAGTATTTGGCTAACAGCTTCCTCTGCTCTCAGGCCTCTTCAAATACTGAGACTAGGTAGGAAACAGTTCACTTGTTTTGAGATGAGACTGTCTCAATGTAACCTTTAACCAAGGCCAGCAGTTAAGAATAAAATACATTTTAGTATCTGGGGCTTCGTCTGACATACTTTGGACATGTTGCTAGGAGGGACGGGTCCTTGGAGAGGGACATCATGCTTGGGAGGGTGGAGGGACGGCGCAGGAGGGGAAGACCCTCTATGAGATGGATTGATTCGGTGACTGGGGTAATCGGGATGGGTGTATCAGAGGCAGTGCAGTTGGCGCAGGATAGAGCAGGGTTTAGGGCTATTGTGCATAGGGTCGCTATGAGTCGGAAACGACTTGACGGCACATAACAACAACAACAACATATGTTTGCCAGCAAGTCTGATTACAGGAGACTAAAAACCAGTTACCTGTTTAAAATAAACTTCATTCTTATGAGTGTTGAGTTTTATTATCTAACTATAGGATTTATTATTAGAACTATGATATTGAATGTGATTCTCTTGAGAGGAAAAATGTAGTCAGAGAACTTGATTATAAAAACTTCCTCTTTAATCAAAGGTTTTAACATCAAAAAGATTTCTCGAATAAAATGTAAAGTTTCCAATACATTGAAACATAAAATCCACAATCACCATACATATAATACCCAGCGGGAAAAAACTCAAAACCAGCAAGTTTACATAATTCCTGTACCTGAGCCCTATGGTCTTATTCTCAGACACTTTATCCATCTGCCAGGTGTGTTCTGTTGGATACCGATCTCATCATGGCTTCTGGGGTCATATGCAGCTGAGACTACAGGCCACAGACCACCCATGTGGCTGAAGGGAGTTGTGTGTGGTGGAGGCTCTGCTAAAGAATCAAAGCACTCACTAGTACATTCAAACAGTGTATTGAACATTCTTTAAATATCAAAGTGAAAAATAGGAAGGCAAGATTAGAAAGATGTTAGCAAGTAAGGACAGCTGTAAACAGAGTGAAGCTGAAAGTGGCTTTGCGAGCTTCATTTCTTTGGCTTCTTTGGTAGTGGCCGGCGGAACAGCAAGATGTGAGGTTCTGAAAGAGTAAGTGAAATCTGAGAAACAAGCTCACACCATTCTATTCACAGTCTGTAGTTATCCCATTCCACTCCAACCTCTTGCTATCAACCAACTCAGATCTTTATAACTAAATTAAAGTTTAAGCATATGGCTTTAGAAGCAGACCCAGAAGTCTGGCCTGTCTGCCAACTACAAAATTGTTAATATCAGTTCCTTTTGCTATGTGTACAGCCCTGGGGTGTTCTTTATTAGTTTTGCCTGGCAACTGGGTGTCTGGTATCTTACCAAGAAATAAACTTTGCTTGGCTTATTTGGAACACATCTATGAACTGGCTATCTTATGGAGAATGATGCAGGGATTCTAACCTCTACTACTATGAGATACTGGGCCTCAAAAAGAGTACCCTTGGCTAAACTTAAGCTAGAGGAGAGTTTTCAATGATAGGCTAGCTCTGAACTACTCTTCAGATGTTTACTTTATTCTTGGTTTTGGTCACTTTAGTTCTCCCCAATGGCTGGTGGAATAAAAGACTTAGTAAAATGATTCCTCTTTCTTACCCCACCACCAAATTGGGTCATGCATTTTTTTCTTTCATTCTAAAAGTATAGCAGTCCTACATGATTGCTGTTAGCCAGACTACTGACCTGGTTCATGGATCATATAGTGGACCCATCCCTGACTCTGCTGAACACCAAGATTCCTCCATTCAGATTCAGACATCAAATGAGTTTTAGGGACAAGCTTGGCTATATCCTTGGGCAACATGACATGCCTGTAACACAAACAAAGGGAAGTGGAGAATTTGTATTAGTACCAGGCCTTTGAACCACTTCACTGTGGTTCAACTCCCTGTTGTGAATCTGCATTCCCACCCCAGATATACTGAGTCAAAATCTACAGTTTAACAAGATCTCTACCACCTGGGAAGCTTGGCAAAATTGCAGATTTAGATAGTGTATCTGGGGTAGGAAAGCAAATTCACCTGAGGAGCTGTTAAAGAATAATTTTTGACTCAGTAAGTATATCTGAGGCAGGCAAGTAAATTTTCAGCAGCGGGTCCAATTGTAATGAATTTATTTAAAACTCTGGTCAGTACTAGGCACAGTCTGTTAGATAAAACACTGGACAAAGTCAAGAGAGCAAATAAAAGTGAAACCATTTTTCTTCTGTCAGGGAATTTGTGCAATCTTATTGTGGGACAGACCAAGTTATGTAAGTCTTCACAAAAGTACAAATGAATGAATAGTCAAATAAACAAGCACCTAAGCCCTAGGTTTCTACATTGTCATGGAATTTATAAGCTTCTAGTTGATTACCTGTAACATAATGGCAACTTCACAGTGTCATGTTAATAAGGTAAGTTTTGAACAGGACTGGTATAAGTGAATTGATTTTGTGGAGAAAGTAGGTGTATGTATATTGCTGTGTGGAAGGGTTATTGCAAAGGTGAAATGGAAATGTTTTAATTTAAAAAAAACAAAAAAAACAAACCCAACAAAAAACTATCCAAAATCTTATTTTCCTAATACTGAAGGGATGTGCCAAGAGACTTCTCTTGGGGAAACTCCACGTTTTCCTAACCAAGGTCAAGTTTTCATGGCAAAAATTTAATCATTTAGAATCAAGCTTCATGCTCAATGGAAATGTCCTACATGCTTTCTTTGGGTTAGTAAGTGAGGTCTTGAGAAATAATTCTAAAGGTCTGAAAATGATTTACATTCTAACAAGCTCCCGGTACAAAGTTCGCTTCAATGCATAATGAAACCAACCAACCAATCCTCTCAAAGTAAGCCATCACAGTCAAGCAAATTGTTACAACTTCAGGGGAGGAAACTAGTTGACATCTCTCTAACCCTGCAAAGATGTTACAAACATATAGTTTTAGTTAGCTCAGATGTAGAGGAAAACAGCTGAGGAAAATAAAATTGTGTCCAAGAAAGACGTGGCATAATGGTGTCTGTTTATCAGTACACACTGAATTCTCCAGAGCACCCAGTAGTTTTCAGTAGGTCAGAAACTTGTCAAGAGGCAAGTTTCTATTTTGTGTTTAACTGCAGAGACAAGATGCAAACTAGGAAGTACTCTTAAGTATGTGGGTTAATAAAAGTTAGTGCTATCAACAGTTGTGGAAGCCTTTGCCTGCCCTTACTTTACAATCTAGAATTACAGACGGAATATATAAAATGTTGGCTTTGCATCCATTTTAGGGATACCGTTTTTGCTATCCTTAGTCGACTATCCAGTTTCTAAACAATTTCAGGCAGGGATTCTCTCCTTCCTTCTTTGATCCTCAAATCAGGCAGTTTCTCCCAGGTGGTTTCCCCCTTTTATGACAGGTCTTTTGTGCTCCCACCACACTCTGAAACATCTCAAGATAGTGGTATTTATCACTTCTCTGAAGTCTGGTACTTAAGTTGTTGAAAGTATAGATCATGTCTTATCCTCGCACCATGGCAGAACACCTGACATCTACCTGTTAGCACTTCATAATTGATTCGTGAATCAAATATATGAAGTAATCGATTAGGTCCCTCAAAAGCCTTTTCTCAATTTTGATGGCCAGTTTTACTATACTCATGTTCTTAGCAGCCTTCCTAAAACACATCAGTCACATCTGCAGCACTAGGTCTCCACTCAAATTGAAGATAAGAGAACAATTCCAGCTCTGCTTGAGCTACATTCTCCCAGCCGACTCTAGGGTCCTATGGTATAGTGATAAGACTAGCAGGAAGAAGGGAAATTCAGTTTGCACAGTATTTGCGAGAGTGATTCAGAAACACTTAAGAGTGAGGATGACCTGCACTCTGTTGACGCCCACTTAGCTCAACTGCGGGTTTAATTCCAAATTCCCATCTTTATATTCTCTCCAAAGCATGCCTGTCCTTCGCGCATGCCCTTTATGTCTTACCTAAGTGAAACCCATTCCCGTTAACCTATCACGCATGCGCTATGGCTGTCGCCTCAGTTACTACTATTCGCACCCACTCTTGTCAATGCTCACAACTTCGTTACGTCCCCCGCGCCGGCACTAACCGGTACTCGAACTCCTCGTCGTCGTATTTATCCGAATAATAAATCTGTTTGTGCGACATAATCGCTCTGCCTGAAGGACTTCAGACTCGCGCCGCAAACCTCCAAACAACTCCCAGCAGCACGCGCTCCCACCCTCTTTGGCCTCGCTTTCAAACACACCGCCGGCACTTCTTATTGGTTCCTTTAGTTCAAGGCGGGACAGCTCCACCTTCAAGCCTCTCATTGGCCTAGATTTACTACTCCCAGGAATCGTTACTGGTCACTAAGTCTTAACATTTCTCAAGAACGAGCGTGGGTCTCTCGTGCACGTTCTTAAGCAGTCATTGGCTGCTCCAGGAAAGTAGGCGGGGTGAATGAGGGAACGGTGAGGTAGAGGGTCAGGGGTTAGTGAGGCCGGAAGTGGGTGCAATAAAGTTTCTCCAGGGAGGCCGGGTCCTGGGAGAAAGTTGGAGCGGCGACCTAAGGAAGCAGTGTCGCAATCCAGAACCAAATAGGTCCGCGGTGCGGTGTGGAGACTCCATGCAGCCCTGGTGAGTCTTGACGTTTTTTCACCTTAGGTGATTCATACCTCCACCCCGGAACCCCTCTCCCGGGACCCCACTTCCGGCTTTTATTGAGAAGTCCCGCCCCTTGAGACCCCCTCCCCGGAAGTCCCACCTCCCTGTTCTAAGGGGCTTCCCGAACATCTCTCCACTTCGAGGTCTTCTCAGAACCCCAGTTTTTCATTATTGTGCCTTACCCCACCTATTCTCCTAGCTTTCCAGGAATTCCCACCCCAGATACGCTTCCAAACCCTTATACGAGAAACCCTTCTAAGTCGCCAAAGCTCCGCCTCCTCGGGACGATCATCTGCTATCTCAAGTCTGTCCAAAAAATCTTAGCTCCCAGAAGGGCTAAAGTATTACGCTCCGAGTTGTTCGAATTCGTTGAAGCCACGCCTCGGAAGGAGCTCCGCCCTCCTGGAAGCTCCACCCCTTCCTTAATCCACGTCTGGTTGTCCAGAGGTTTTAGTACAAATCCTTGAGGCTCAAATCCTAGAGGCCACGCCCCCTTTGAGGTTTAAGCCCGATGGGACGCTGGTCATCTTCACCTCTGAAACTTCGTCTTTAGTGCCAGAAGCTTCGCTTACACTTTCTGTCCTTTCTTCATGTCCTTGGGCTGTTTCCTGAGCGCTCATGCGCCTCTGGATGGAAAGTCAAAGTTGGCACCTCAGGCCTTGAGTGAGCGAATCAAAGTCAACCCCTTCTTGAATTTTACTTCCCTCCACACTCTAGAGTAGAACTTGCTTTAAGTGGGCTGGACTTGGGGGTTTGGCAGGAACCGTAGTAGAGACTGGCTCATAGTTTCCCAGTCTCACTGCCTCTCATTCCCAGCACCGACTCCACCCCAGAAACAGCTGCAAAACGTACCTGTACCTCAAGAGTTGGGTAGGGCCAGGGTCTATTAGTGTATGGGTTGCTGGTATGACAGGAGATAGATATTCTCTCAGGACAGAATGGTTGTGTGGAGTAGGGGGTGTCCCTTTTTTCCTTAAGGGCACTCCTCTCGTCTCCCTTCCCCCTAACTGGAGTTCTTGTCTGGGCATTCCTCTTGGCCCAGCTCACCCATCCTTCCCTGCGGGGAACATTCCTGAGGCTTTCGCCATTTCCTGCTACTTCCCGTTCCTCTCTCCTCCTCCTTGCTGGGCTTTAAAGCCATACAATCACCAGAACTCTCTCACTAAAGCAGCCTTTCTCCCGGTGAAAATTTAGAGAGTGAAATGTAGTCATTCCTTTCTTCCAAATGCCCATACCTGTTGGTTACTTCCTGCCTCTGAATAACTCCCCAAGGATGGCAAGCTCTAAAGATTGGATATCCTGGGTGTGTGTGTGTGCTGTGAGGCCTTAGAAAATGGAGTGAGAATTTTCTATCAGGAGTTATATCTCTTTGTATCTCTTGGGATGAAGACTAAAGGGAAGTGAAAGATTTACCACTTGTATGAAGTGTTAGTATTGCTCATTACTATCATTGTATTATTACTTTTTTTTATTCTCTGAAGTAAATGAAGGACTGGGTAATTCTGAGATGAGTCTTGGGAGTATGTGTATCTTTGTTTCTGGCCACTTTCTAGCTTCCTTTTTGGCCCCACAGCTATAACAGGAAATTGTGAGTGGAAAGAATGGGTTTGGGATTGTGCCCTGCGTGCTGCCTTATAGCCCATCTTCTCCTGGCACCCCCCTTTCTCCTGTAGTTACTAACATAGAACTGTCTTCTTGATCCTTCCGACAGCCTTAGTCCTCACTTCTCTTGGAGAACTGTTCCACCCCCCACCCACCCCAGTGAGACCCCCCTGGTGTGAGGGACATTGTGCTGTATGGTGGGCACTTGACTAGTTACCAGTCATTGCTGCTGAGGAGTATGAATATAAATGGCTATTCAAAGGAGTTGACTTTAGAGTTAGTGCCAGGCCTTCCAGTTCTCAGCTTTGACAACCTGCTTTCTGGGGGAAAGGGGCAGAAAGGTGCTGTACCTAGCTTTGAACCACTGCTCTTTCCCATGGGGAGGGAAGAAAAGCCTCAGCTCTTGCCTGGTGGCTCCTTGACACACCACACAAGTTGGACTTTAGCCTCCTTCCTCTTTACATCCTCTGGGACTGCTTCCTTCTCTCCCTCCAGTCCACAGCTGTTGGGGGAGAGGGTGGTAGTGGCTCAGGCTCCCTGGGGGCACAACCCCACTGTGTATTTGGAGGTTGGGAGGTGGTTTGGGCTAGAGGATGGGGAAATGGAGGAGTGTCCCACCTGGACGGGAAAGAAAGTGCTGCGCTCAGGATCCACCTCCCTTTTCCAGCCCCTGCAGCCTCTGTTTCCTCCCTCATTGCCCTCCTCCCGTCCCTTCCCTGGCTTCCTGCTCCCCATGGCCTGCCCATGTCCGGTTTGGATTGATCCAGACCTCCCCTCCTCTTATCAGCCTCCTTTCCTTCCGTCTTCCTTCTCCATCCTTCCCTTCTGCCCTGCACCACTCCCTCCACCCCCCACCCCAGCCCCGCTCTCAATTCCTCCCCAGATTACTGGTTGGTTGGTTGCTTGGAGGTGGAGAAAGAGACGTGGCTGTCCTACCCCTGCCAGGGTTCTAGGTTTGGGCAGCAGAGGGGCTCAGCCCCTCAGTGCCTGTGAGTCAGCAGTGTCTTTGGGATTGGTCTCTCTCCTCAGCTCCCCGCCCCTGGGGAGGAGCCAGGCAGCTCTGGGTCTTGCCTGTTCTCCTCTTCGCAGAGAAGAGGCTCCACGCTCTGCAGGGATGGCCCCAGAAACTGCCCAGGGCTGAGCTGGGGGAGCTGAAGCCACCTGTCTCTGTCCCTCCCCAGGACTCCTGAGACCCCTGAGCCATAGAGGTCCGACCAGGCTAAGGGCCTGGGGATGCCCCCTGCCTGGCCCCCTTGCCCTGACTGGCAGGGGGGCCGGGCCGGGCAGCAGCACCCCTCTCACCCCAATCATGGATCTCCTTCCCCCCAAGCCCAAGTACAATCCGCTTCGGAATGAGTCTCTGTCATCGCTGGAGGAGGGGGCTTCAGGGTCCACTCCCCCGGAGGAGCTGCCTTCCCCATCAGCCTCATCCCTGGGGCCCATCCTGCCACCTCTGCCTGGGGACAATAGTCCCACTACCCTGTGCTCCTTCTTCCCCCGGATGAGCAACCTGAAGCTGGCCAACCCAGCTGGAGGGCGCCCGGGGCCGAGGGGGGAGCCAGGAAGGGCAGCTGAGGATGGGGAGGGGATTGCAGGGGCAGCTATGCTGGACTCAGGCCCCCTGCACCTCCTCCAGGACATGAACAAGCTGAGTGGAGGCGGCGGGCGCAGGACTCGGGTGGAAGGGGGCCAGCTAGGGGGCGAGGAGTGGACCCGCCACGGGAGCTTTGTCAATAAGCCCACGCGGGGCTGGCTGCATCCCAACGACAAAGTCATGGGACCTGGGGTTTCCTACTTGGTTCGGGTGAGTGAACATCCTCCCTTCCACTCCATTCCTGACACCCTCAACCCCTATCCCCACCCCAGTTCTTCTACACACTCTAGCTTTGCTGGAATGTTTTTTACCCCCTCCACTTTCCCAACAACCCTCACTCCTTGAGGGCTCTGTTCCAATCTCATATTCATTTCTGTTATTAAACCTTTCTTTGCTTTTCACCAATTATGTAGCCCCTTCCCTTTCAGCTAAGTGTGGGCCCTTCCTTTTTCCGTCTTCCCCACCCCCATGCTGCCATGCTTAGCACAATGCCCAGCACATGGCAGACCCTTAGGAAGTGTTGGAATGAGAGACTTCTTGATTTCTCCTGTCCAGTCCCCTCCCCTTTCTGGAGATGTCACTAGATTGTCTTCACCCCACCCTGTGCCTGTCAGTGCCCTCCGAAGTCTCTTCCCAGATGCCTCAGGTCCTCCTAACTTCCCTTTCTTTCTATCTTTATTCCCTGTTGTCTTGCACATTGTGGGATGTAGCCACGGTGAGTGGGCAGAACTTGCACATCCTTACTCCCCTCAGGGACCACTAAGAAGGAAGGGAGAAGTCGCAGGGCTCTTTGTGATGGGGCTGGTGGGAGGCGGCTAACATGCTGTCTCTGTCCTTCCTTCAGTATATGGGCTGTGTGGAGGTCCTGCAGTCCATGCGTGCCCTAGACTTTAACACCCGGACTCAAGTCACCAGGTAGGTCAGTGACTGACCTGGGTAGAGGATTGGATTATGAGACGAGGAGAGTTGATTGCATAGTTGTCGTGCTAGTAGTCTGAATGAGGAGAAAGGTGACCCAGATCCTTCTTACCTATTCAACCTTGGGAGCTGTGGGGTAGGTGGCAGAAGCTGCTGGCAGATGGACTTTGAGTGGAAAACAGGATGGATTGAAAGTTGCTGCCGTCTTTGGGAAGGGACCATTTAGTAGCCAGAAAGGGGTGGGGCTGTAGCCATTGAGGCCCTAACCCAATCAGCCAGGAAGCGGCCTCTCAGTGTCATCAAATATTAAAGGCCTTTAATTCAATCTGCCACGACAAAGAGCCTGGAGCGCCCTGGGAATCTGGCCTAGTCTTCCCCTCCCCCAGACCTGTGGCAGCCCCAGCTGAGTGGAAGGCAGGCTCTGAGCCTGAGTACCCCTCTTTTCTCCAGGGAGGCCATCAGTCTGGTGTGTGAGGCTGTGCCGGGTGCTAAAGGGGCAACAAGGAGGAGAAAGGTACTTGGGGATGATGGGGCTAGGGATGCAGGGGGCAAGGTGGCAGGTGGGCATGTGAGGAGAAAGCCAAAAGGCAGAAGTGTGGTTTCCTATTGCTGGGAACCCTCAGCTTGTGAAACGCCTGGACCCTTCCCTAGCCCTGTAGCCGCCCTCTCAGCTCCATCCTGGGGAGGAGTAACCTGAAATTTGCTGGAATGCCAATCACTCTAACAGTCTCCACCAGCAGCCTCAACCTCATGGCAGCTGACTGCAAACAGGTTGGTGGGGTAAGGCAGGGGGACCAGAAACACAGATAGAGCTAAGAGGGGATCTGGTAATGAAGGCAAAAACCTAGGGGGGAGAAGGGATGGAAATTATGGTCAAGAAAATTATGAGCACATGGGGTCAGAAGCTAAAAAGGTGGGTAGGTCAGGCTTTGGGGTACCCAGGTGGACTTTGAGGCTGCCTGACATCACTCCCCTCCTTCTTCAACCCCTGCCTTAACCCTCAGATCATCGCCAACCACCACATGCAGTCCATCTCGTTTGCGTCCGGTGGGGACCCGGTGAGTTAGAAAGAGATCACAGGTGGTAAGAGAAAAAAGTAAGGGGCTAGGGATGGGGAGCAAAGAGCTAGAGAAGAGGGGATTGTAGCACTGAAGGATATCTGGGTTTTAGAGGTAAGGAAATCAAGTGGGGTGTGGGCATCTGGGAAATTCACCTGACTGGCTTCTTCTGACTCTGTCCACCCCAGGACACAGCTGAATACGTCGCCTATGTTGCCAAAGACCCCGTGAATCAGAGAGGTGAGGCGCGGTGGGGAGCACTGGGTGGGGCCGGCTGTTCATGAGGCAGGTGAGCAGGATTGGGGTCTTCTTTCCCTGCTTGGAGTAGAAATGATCAGGGGCACTGGCTGGGAAAGATGAGAGCCCCTGTCCATGCCTCTTCTGGCACTCCCACCTCAGTGCTCACTGGTGGCCTCTGCTGTGCCCCCAGCCTGCCACATCTTGGAGTGTCCTGAAGGGCTCGCCCAGGATGTCATCAGCACCATTGGCCAGGCCTTTGAGTTACGCTTCAAACAATACCTCAGGAACCCACCCAAGCTAGTCACTCCCCATGACAGGTGAGCTGGCACGAAGAGGGTGGGCAGAACCTAGTGGGGAAAATAGGTCTGTTTTTCCCACACTTGGGTTCAGTGCTGTTCAGGGAAGGAAATAACCTGTATGCCCCTGCTTCCCACTTCCTGCTATTCTTAAATTTCCTGTGGTCCATCAGAAAAGGCTTTTAAGGCCCTGCCTGCTGCAGGGCCAGCTCTTCCTCTTGTTTGCCCTTGATGGAACTGTGTTACCAGGCCTCTAGCCTGCATCTCTGTCCCTGGCTATGGCTAGATGGGCTCTTTTAGCTGTAACTTCACTTCTGGCCCACTCTTTTTTCTTGCCCATGTCTCTGTTCTGTGTTCTAGCTTTTCTTGCCCCTAGAAGAAACTGAATGAAAGAAATGTTCTTTTTCCTGAGATCTTTTTCCTAACTCGTCTTGAGGGATAAATCACCAGTAGGCACTGACTGTTTTGAGGAGGTTAAAAGATTATGTCATCAACATTCCCACACCTCCATATTAGTGGTTCCCATTCCCCACCTTTCTTTGCCTTAGGAGATAGTGTTGGGCATGAACTTTAAAGTCAAGCCTAAATTGAAATTACAGCTTCACCCCCTTCTCATTGTATCCCTGTAGACAGATCTTTTCATTTCTCATTTTATTTCATCTATAATATTGAGGAAGGAAATAGTATTGATCTTAAAATGTTGTTAGGAGGATGAAATGATTATGTATATAAACCCACAGCCTCAAGTTTAACTTAAAATAAGAGCCAGCATATGGCCGTGCTTTAGTTCTCTCCCTTCCATCTTCCTGATCCAACATACGTTTGCATGTGGACTCTTCATTCGATGATGTTCCTCTCAGGATGGCTGGCTTTGATGGTTCAGCTTGGGATGAGGAGGAGGAAGAACCACCAGACCATCAGTACTATAATGACTTTCCGGGGAAGGAACCCCCTCTTGGTGGGGTAGTGGACATGAGGCTTCAGGAAGGAGCTGCCCCAGGGGCTGTTCGACCCACTCCAGCCAGTGCCCAGACGCCCAGTCACCTGGGTGCTACTTTGGTAAGCTGTATGGATAAAGTCAGGCTGGGCCCATAATGGGAGTGTTTGGTTAGCAAGTATGTGGTTTCATCTTATTTTTTCCCTTGCAGCCTGTGGGGCAGCCTGTTGCAGGGGAATCAGAAATCCGAAAGCAAATGCCACCTCCACCACCCTGTCCAGGTATGAAGGGAACTGAGATTGGCAGAGCCAGATGTGTAAGAGGCAGAGGTTGAATCACTGTAAAATTCCTCTTTCCTCAGCAGGTCGAGAACTCTTTGATGATCCCTCCTATGTCAACGTCCAAAACCTAGACAAGGCCCGGCAAGCAGGGGGCAGGGGCGGGCCCCCCAATCCTGCTGTCAATGGCAGTGCTCCTCGAGACCTCTTTGACATGAGTGAGTATTCCTTTCTACTTTATGCAATCTCACCTTCCCTCTTGGTTCCACTTCTCTTGCCCATCTATCTACTCTCTCCTTCCTGGGTTTTCCTCCACTAACATCTGAGGTTCTGGCCATATCTCATCCTGTTGTTGATTGCCGTCGAGTCGTAGAGACTCCATGAACAAAAGACCTAATGCCTTTTCGTAGCTATTGTTTTTTCTCCAAGTTCATGGAGTTTCCAGAGGCATGTGGTTTAGGAAGTGGATGCCACTCCTGCTTCCAAACCTGTTTACAAATGGGAGCTCCACCAAACACTGTCCACAATGGGAAAGCATTATGGTTTTTGATATCCCCATAGCACAAGGTTCAGTATCACAGCAAACCCAGGTTATCTCATACAGCACATTGACAATCTTAGCTACCTCTTCTAATCTTTTCTCTACACCCTCAGAGCCCTTTGAAGATGCCCTTCGGGTGCCTCCACCTTCCCAGCTGGTATCCATGGCTGAGCAGCTCCGAGAGGAGTCCTGGTTTCACGGGAAGCTGAGCCGGCGGGAGGCTGAGGCACTGTTGCAGCTCAACGGGGACTTCCTGGTGCGGGAGAGCACGACCACACCTGGCCAGTATGTGCTCACAGGATTGCAGAGTGGTCAGCCTAAGCACCTGCTCCTGGTGGACCCTGAGGGTGTGGTGAGTGTGGCTGTTGGGGTGTGTGTGTATGGGGATGGTGTAAAGAAGGTACAGTATCCTTCAGTGCAGTTCTGTTCCTTTAGGCATTATTTCCTAGACTTTCCCTACTGGCCATCCCTGCATGGGCCTTTGCTATTCTTTAAAGAGTCTGATGTCCCTTTTCCCGCAGCTGAGATAACTTCCCTTCATACATCCCTGATCCTGAGCTCCCCTCAGCCTGGGCCAGTCCTCAAATCCCTGATTGTTAAGCCCGTCAGAGCTCCAAGGGGCTTTAGTGCTCATCTCACTTGAGCCCCTTTTGACAGATGAGAAAACCACGCTGGAGACGCTGTGACGCCCAGTGTCAGATGGCTAGAGTCTAGATCCAAGTGTCTCATCTTGCAGGAGGAGCGAGCATTCCCTAGACTCAAGGCTCAGACCAGTGCTCATTTTTCTCCTGCTTGCATTGCATACAACTTTGGTCTCTGCTCCTGTAATCTCAGCTTCCTTTTCTACATGTTTTTGCCCTATGTATTCTCCAAAACATGCCAGCTTCCTCTAGGGTAAGGAAGGCGTAGCTTTCCCTCAGTGCTGACTCCTGGGTTGATGTCCTCTCTGCCTACTCTCGGTTCACTGCTCCGCAGGTTCTCATAACTGTCTCTAACTGCACTGTGGAGAATCCTCCATGATCAGGACCGACAGCTCCCACCACCACCTGTCATCTTTTTTTTCTCATCAACCCTCTTGTATATTCCAGCTTCCTTAACTTTGGGAGCTGAGGTCTTACTTGACTCTTAACCTGAATTGACCTACTTCTCCCTTTCCTTTTCAGGTTCGGACAAAGGATCACCGATTTGAGAGTGTCAGCCATCTCATCAGCTACCACATGGACAATCACTTGCCCATCATCTCTGCGGGCAGCGAACTGTGTCTGCAGCAGCCAGTGGAGAGAAAAGTGTGATCCTTCTCTACGCTCTCTCTGAAGATGACCTCCAGCCCTTCCACCCTCTTCCCTGACTCTCAGGACCTCTCGTTCTGCGGACTGGGCCTTGTGTAGGAGCCTTCAGTGGCGTGAACACTGGGCTCAGTGTCTGCTCGAGATGGTTTGAGTCAGGAGACTGGGGTAGAATCCTGTTTCTCCCCAAACCTCACCAAAGTATTAATGTACAGAGTGGTTCCCTTCCCTGGGCCTTGCCTGTGCCAATCTGATACTCCCCTTCCCCAGGAAGGTGGGTGCTTGAGACCTGGGCAGTGCCTCTTTGTAATGGAAAAGGTCCTGTGGTGATAAGCTGAGTTGAGTTACCACCCTTCCAGGGAAGGGGGAATTGAGTCACACCTTTATTCTATCCCTGGGCTCAGGGTCCCCCCTCAAACTCCTCATAACCCTCCCTCCCATGTTTAAACTTTGTGCCTTTGACCGTCTCCTAGGTCTGAAGATATTTTATGCAGAGTTTTTGGGCCTCTGAGATCGAGGAAAGGGGTCTTGATACCTTGGCTTCTGGGACCCGTTCCTCTCCTTGCTCAGCAACCCTTCCAATTTCAGTTGGGAGAACAGAGGCAGGAGTGGCAGTTGTCCCCTCTCAGGGGATATGCAACCCTTATAGAGACTGTCCCAGGGCCCCCCTCCTGGCCAGGGGTGAAATGGGTCCTTCCCCCAATCAGTGCCTCCTGGCTGGGGTCCCTCACAGAGGGGTCTGTATATACATTTCGTAATCCCCATCCCCTCCCTTGTTGCATGAATGTTATACTCTACAGCCAAAGTGTAGCCCTTTCTCCTGTAGCCTCTGTGCTGTATCCACCTGCTCGAGGGGTTGGGGGATGTGGGGGAGACTGATTTTGGACCTCTCTTGTACGGTTAAATCACGTGGGTGGATCTGCAGAGAGGGGAATAGGGCATCAGGACTCTAAAGCAGTAGACAATCCCCAAATACCATCTCTAGATGTAGCACTGCTTTTTTTATCTTATATGCATATCTTTTAGGGCTGTAGATTTACTCTAATTTTATGTGGCTTAATCTTGAGCACAAAATTATTATAATCAATTACGTTTATATAATCACTTCGTTGACGTTTCAAAGCCCTTTTACAACTTTGCATTTTCCTCACCCTAGCTTGTGAGGTAATTGGAAGTGGCAGCATTATGTTTTGTGGTTTTTAAAATTTTTTTAAGAAGACCTAAGGCAGAGAAAAAATTGGTCAAGAACTAAGACTAGAGAAACTTGGGCTTCTTACCACCAAGATTGGGTGGCAGAATTTCTGCTAAAGTGTTTTAACTTCAGGAAAGGGACGTGGGAACCTGCAGTTATTTATTGTGAACCTTCTACATGTCTAGCACTTGCTCTGGGCCTAGTGTGTGGCCCCAGGGAAGCCGGCCCTGCCATTTCTCTAGGTCTTGTGCATAAGAGGGAGTTGACTGTTGGATCCTTTGCCGCCTTGTTTTGTTTGGATGTTTTCACGGGTCTCACCTTATACCAAAGGGAAAGAATCCTCATTAAAGTCCGTATTTCTTCTACCTTGGTTGCTTGTCTGTGCCTCTTTCCACCCTTCTGTTCACTGTGGGTCGTGGCGGGAGGGGAGGAAGGGGGAGTGGTATCGAGCCGCTTGGCTCACCTGGGTGCATCTGCTCACCTGGGCGCCCCGCGCCAGCCCGAATACCTGCTGCGCCACCCAGGCAGGCGGGGATGTTTGGGGCCCACGCTCTCATAAGGATGCCCATGTCTGTAGGAGAGCCACCAGGTGGGGGACAGGATGCACGTCCCGTGGCCTTGTAGGTTCCCGAAAGTCGGAAGCCTGGAAAGCCTAAATCTCGCAGTTCGAGGTACACTCCCGGTGGCCCCTCTGCCCGGAATGGTACGGCCCGGCAGCAAGCTCTGCTGGGTGCGGCGGTCAGAGGTGCGGCGATATAGGCCACTTCCCCGGACTAGAACAGCCTCTCCGCGCACTAGGTCGTGCGGCGTGGGGCACCGCTTTCCCCACTCGGCCGGCCGCCGGGTGGAGCGCCCCGCCTCGCGCTCCCCCTCCCGCCCGGCTCAGTGGAGGCGGCCGAACCGACTTCCGGTTCCTGCTGCCGCTGCGGGCGGGCGCTGAGTCTGGAACGGGCGCGTAGTTCGTGCTCTGGTTCCGTGCTTCTCCCTCGCCACACCTAGTGGTTGCTGTAGCTGGGGGTCCGCGCCGCCCCTGACTTCCCTCCCGGGAGATGATGCGGCCCGAGGGCGCCTCCATCCCGCGCCGTCGCTAACCCTGGTCCCCCACTCCATGGCCGCCTCGGCGCCGCCCCCACCGGACAAGCTGGAGGGAGGTGGCGGCCCCGCACCACCCCCTGCGCCGCCCAGCACTGGGAGGAAGCAGGGCAAGGCCGGTGAGAACCCTGAGAGGGGTTGGGGCTGGGGAGGCGGTGGCTGGAGAGGCCGAGGACCTCAGAACCCTGAAAAGGAATTGGTGGAGCGGGTGTAGGGGTCTTAGGCTGAGGAGTCTAAAGAAAGGCTCGCCACCCTCGGTGCCTCTCTTGCAGCTCATCTTTTAAGATCTTGCCACTGTCAGCCTTCGAAGCTTGAGAGAATGGGTGACTGGAGACCTTAGGGGTTTTGGGGTAGTTGTCACAGATTGAGGGGCCTGTGGTTGGAGGCGCATGAAATTCAAGAGTCTTGGAGGCTGAGGGTATCAGTATGGCTCTCTTTCACTTAAAGAGCCAGCTGACAGTGTGGTCTTGCTCGTGATTAATATTTCATACCACACTTATTGCCAGTATTTGTGTAATAAGAAAAAAAATGTACAATTAAAGTTAGAGGCATTCAGGGGATGGCGGGGGAAAAAGAAAGAAGTTGAAAACCCCCAGGAAAACATGCCTGCATCTGCCATTTGCTGATCTTCCAGGTCTGCAAATGAAGAGCCCAGAAAAGAAGCGGAGAAAGTCAAACACTCAGGTGAATGGTAGTTGTTGGTGGGGTAATTCTTCACAGGCCCTCAGACCCTCTCTGTAGCTTAAGTATCCATTTGTTTTCCTGTAGATACAGAGAATGAAAACTGCCTTTTCTTGCTCTATTTCTCATCCTTTTCCTCAGTCTCATAGCAAACACCCAGAGAAATAGTCTTCTCCAAGAGGTGATTTGATCAAAGATCTTATCAGGCATGATTACACCACCTTCCTCCTTTTTTTTCTGTTCTAGTTACTTTAGAATATTAACAGATGCCACTTCCTAAGGCCCATGAATTGTGGTAAAGTTGCAGTAACAGTTTTGGGAGATAGGCATTAGTGCCTGCTCCAGTATTTTGAAGATATTCAGGGTCAGAGCTAGGATTCAGATCTAGGGTTCAAAACACAGTTACTGCACTCTGCTGCCTTTGCTCTTCATCCTGTTACATGCTAAGGTCCATCTCGGTTTAAGATTTGAGATGGCCAGTTGTTATTACGTGCCACTGAGTTGACTGCGACTCATAGCAACCCTGTGAACCATGCCTTAGCCTGCACTGACCTCACAATCTCTGATAAGGCCCAAACCTATTGTTGGTGTCACTTTGTCCGTCTATCTTGTTAAAAATCTGACTCTCCACTTTCCCAGCCTGATGTCTATTTCCAAGGACTGACTCCCTCTTGACAATTTGCCTAAAGTAGGTAAGGTGCAGTTTCACCATCCTTGCTTCTAATGAGCACTCTGGTTTCACTTTCTCCAAGGTAGACTTGTTTGTTCTTTTGTCAGTTCATGGAATATTCAGTATTTTTTGCCAACACCACATTCCCACCTCCAAATCCCGTGTTTGTAATGCTCTTCTAGTTTAGTGTCTCTCTCCCTCCATGACCTTTTCCTCATTTCTTCCCCACTAGGGCCCTGCATACTCACATCTGACGGAGTTTGCGCCACCCCCAACTCCTATGGTGGATCATCTGGTTGCCTCCAACCCTTTTGAGGATGACTTTGGAGCTCCCAAGGTGGGGGCTGCAGCCCCTCCTTTCCTTGGAAGTCCTGTGCCATTTGGAGGCTTCCGTGTACAGGGGAGCATGGCTGGCCAAGTACCCCCAGGCTATGGCACTGGTGGTGGAGGTGGTCCCCAGCCTCTCCGTCGACAGCCTCCTCCCTTCCCTCCCAACCCTATGGGCCCTGCTTTCAACATGCCCCCCCAGGGCCCTGGCTACCCCCCCCCAGGAAACATGAACTTTCCCAGCCAACCCTTCAATCAACCTCTGGGACAAAACTTTAGCCCTCCTAGTGGACAGATGATGACAGGCCCAGTGGGAGGATTTGGTCCCATGATCTCACCCACTATGGGACAGCCTCCCAGAGGGGAGCTGGGTCCTCCTCTTCCTCAACGCTTTGCCCAACCAGGAGCACCTTTTGGTCCCTCTCCTCTTCAGAGACCTGGCCAGGGGCTCCCCAGCCTGCCCCCTAACACAAGTCCTTTTCCTGGTCCAGACCCTGGCTTTCCTGGCCCTGGTGGTGAGGATGGGGGAAAGCCTTTGAATCCACCTGCTCCCACAGCTTTTCCCCAGGAACCCCACTCAGGCTCCCCGGCTGCTGCTGTTAACGGGAATCAACCCAGTTTTCCTCCCAACAGCAGTGGGCGGGGTGGGGGCACTCCAGATGCTAACAGCCTGGCACCCCCTGGCAAAGCAGGTGGGGGCTCAGGGCCCCAGCCTCCCCCAGGCCTGGTGTATCCGTGTGGTGCCTGTCGGAGTGAGGTGAACGACGACCAGGATGCCATTCTATGCGAGGCCTCCTGCCAGAAGTGGTTTCACCGAGAGTGCACGGGCATGACTGAGAGTGCCTATGGGCTGCTGACCACCGAGGCTTCTGCCGTCTGGGCCTGCGATCTCTGCCTCAAAACCAAGGAGATTCAGTCTGTCTACATCCGTGAGGGTATGGGGCAGCTGGTGGCTGCCAATGATGGGTGACACTGGCATGGTGGCCCAGGGAAGCTCACATGTCCCTCCCTGCTCTTCTGGAGTGATTGTGTCTGGCTCTTGGTCCTTGTTTCCAGTGGCTTCCTAGTCCATTAGGGGCAGGAACACAATGGCTCCTTGGGGCAGAAAAGGAACTGAAATAGGCAGGCAGAAGAAGGGCCTGGATTATTCACTTTTCTGGAACTTGCCTGTTGAGATCTACGAAGGTCCGGGAAACCAAAGCCTTGCTGTGTGGAGCCTTTTTCTTTTTTTTGGTGGCTGTCTCTGGAAGCCTAGGGCTGTGGCCTCAAGAGAGGAGGGGCTGGAGGTTAGGTGTGCCCTCTGTAGATGAGGGGTGCCCTCTAACACCTGTGCCTAATGTCCCTATCTAGCCCCACAGTACCAGCCTTGGTTGGTTTGGTTTTTGGTTTTTTTTGTTTGTTTGTTTGTTTCAAGAGTGGACAGAGCAATTGTGTGGTCTGTTGCCACCTTACATTAGTCTTCCATGGGCTCTCTGAGGCAGCGTTAGGACATAAATGGAAATTCCCCCCCCCCCCTTCCCTTTGCCTCTTTCAAAAGCTACCCAACTCTTCTCAGAGAACTAGCTTGAAGAAGCTGGAGGGTTCTTGACTATGAGAGTATCTTGGTGATTTGGGTCTTTAGGATGGTAAAGAGATGCTGTCAGAATACATTTCCCTTATACCAAAGTCACTGACCTTTTCTCAGCCTCCCTTGTGATTTTCTCCTCATGTCCATGATTTTTGCCAAAAAGTAAGGTATGTGTGTGTAGTCTGACACACCAGGATATCTGAAGTTTGAACTGACTTGGAAGTCTGGACTCTGGTCAAACAACCTTCCCCCACCTTGTCCATCTGTTGCACATTTTCTTCAGCACCTTTCTTCAAGTTTTGGTGCTCTTATGCCCCTGCCTCCCTGGTTTGACTGAAGGAAAGCATGAAAAGGGGATCCTTATACCTCATTTCCTCTCCCAATAAAGGATTCAAGCAAGGCCCTACCACAACCTTGTGGATAAGGGAAGTAGGAAGCACTAGGACCTCATTGCCATGGTACTGAAAGGTAAAAGAGCCTGGATACTTACTTTACTCCCCTACCATTCTTTCATGTGGGAGCAAGATGGGCATTCTCTTCCCACTAGAGGGTCAGCAGTGAGTTGGTTCTGACTTGATGGTACATTATCAATACCACCATTGTCTCAGATCTTCTCAGGCCCAGGAATCTAGCAGTTCTCGTTCCTCTCAGCTCTGAGCTTTATTTTTGAAGCACTGTCTGCCAGATAGGGGACCAGGGGCAGTTCTGAACCCCTGCTGCCACAAATTAATCTTTAGAACATGTTCACATTCCTCATTGGGAATGTGGGGAAGGGAAGCGGGGGTATGGCCTTGAGAAGTTGGTACAAAAAGCTCACAAGGTGTAGTGGCCTTGAGAAGTTGGTACAAAAAGTTGACAAGGTATAGTGGCAAAGGCCCTTCTGTGGTCTCCTTCCCCACTTCTGGGTTTCCTAGCACAAGCAGAGGAATGGCGGGCAATACAGAGCACATTTGTCCTCTGGAGCCAGCAGCAGCCTGTGAGGCTTCCAGCAGGCCTCTGGACTTTGTCTTCCCATACTAAAACTAGATGGCACCTAACTCCCCACCACTCAACTTTGTGTTGTGTTTCTGTTTGCCTTTTATCTGTTGATATTTTTGTGTTTTTCTCCCTCCTCCTCTATTTGTAAAATGAGGGAGGTCCTGGGGGGGGATGTCTTTGCTCACTCACCCGCATTCACCACTACTTGGAAGAAAGTGTGTGTGTGTGAGATGTAGTGGGAGAGTATTTTGTACGGTTGGATTAATAAAATGACTTGAAAATTCAGACAAGGACTCCAGCTGTTTGTGCAAAAAGAGCTGTGAACCACCCCTGAGGGGAGAGAAGGGATGTGTATGTGTCCCAGCAGTGGGAATGACAAGGATTCAGGCCCCCCTCCCCTCCCTTCTGACCTTGGTACAAGTTTCTGAGCCAGCCCTCCCTGCTCCTCCTCAGGTCCCTGCTGTGAGAAATTTAGTTTCTTTTTTGAGCACATTCCTGGACTATGTCTGAGCCAGGATGGAGTTTTGGCTCCAAGGCCTCTTGGAGACAAGTGCTATAAACTTAGGGGTTTGCCGACGCCCCCTAAGCCAGTTGTTACTGTCACGTGTAGCTCCAAGGATGGGAGGAGGACCCATCCTTGGTTTAACATTTAATTTTTGGAGGGTTTTCAGGCCCACCCTCACTAAATAGATGTGAAATCCTTAACAGTTTTGTTCTGGACCGAGGTGGGAAGAGTATAAAGAGGGCTATTTCCAAGAGCACTATTTACCACCTGCCCCTCTCCCCTCCCCCGACCTGCAGCTGTCTCTGTCTATTCTGGGGCCAACTTGGCTGCGCGTGCTGCTTGTCTCACAGACAGCATTCTTTTCCTGTCTCTGTTTTGAGTTTTCCCTCTAGAACCAGTTCAGGCACTGAGAAAGGAGTGGTGGTTGCCTAAAATTAAGTTTGCACGAACCCCAAGTCTCCCACCAGGCTGTAAATACAGGTTTATGAGCTGAGCTTGTCCCCCCCTTTCCATTGGTTCTCAACTACAGCGCTTATTGGCCAAAAGTTTCCGCCCCTTGGGGGGGTTGCTGACTTACTATTGGTCAGCCACTGGTCACATGACCCACCTCCTTTCTTGGACTGGAAACCTGTGGAGGCAGCAACAAGTTCTGCTGAAGACTGAAGCTGGGTAAGGTAAAGTACCTTAGTGGGGAAGGGGACCACAGATCCCTGCAAGAGGAAAGATTAAGGAAACATAAGGCAGAACTCGCGAGGGCTTTACCTGGTTTTCATAGATCTGTCATTTCTGGGCTTGGGGAAGGAGGGCCATAGGAAGACATTTTCAAAACAGGAACTTGCTTTGGGTTCCCCTGCAAATTCTTATGACTCTAGGTCTCTTGCCTTAAGTTTGGCGGAACTGTTGGAGGGACTGAAATTAGCTAGAAGTGAGGTTTATATAGAGTGAGAGGGCTCCCTCTTTAGCTGTCTTTTAAAGAAATAACAGACAATCCATCCAAACCAGAAAACCAAACCCTCTACTGCTCAGTGTTTTCTAACTCTTAGCGGCTCTTTAAGACAGAGTAGAAAGGTTCCACGGGGTTTTCAAGAGTGTGTGTCATTGTTTAGGAAGTAGACTGCCACACGTGGGTTTCAATCTTGGGCCTAAAGGTTTTATTTATTTTTTTTGTTGTTGGGTGTGTAGAGTCAGATCCAACTGGGGTAGGAGATTGCCCCTCCATCTCCAGCTGAGCTGGTGGATTCGAACCGCTTGTCTTCGGGATTGCAGCGCAGCTTCTTGCCACTAGGCCACCAGAGCTCCTTGAATGGGTTTATTTTAACAGCCGAGCAGTTAACCATTGCATCACCAGGGCTCCTTGACAGTCATGCTTACAGGATAGTTTTATTGAATCTTGCCTATGGGTGAAAGGTGAATGAAAAAAGAGGAAGTGGGAAGTGGATAGAGGTGACCTTTCTTCTTAGAGGTTTATGAGAAGAAAAAAAGATTCTCAAACACAGCAAGGCAAAGTGGAGATTAGACAGCAGAAGGAACTTCCTAATAAGGCAATCCCATGCTGGCTTGGGAAAACAGCAGTGTTTTTTAATTTTGGGTGATTTCAACAACAAAAAGTATCAGGGTCTGGTACCCTGTGAACAGGGCATTCAGATTGTCCCCTGTTTGGGTCTCAGACGTGCTTGTCTTGTTGACCCAAATACCGTGGCTGGTTTCCATGGAGACACTGGGTCTGACATCATCCTGGTTGCCATGGTGCCTTGTTCTGGAGGACCTGAGCAGGCTGTACACAGCCAGGGATAAACAGAGACTTCAGCCCAAGCTGCCGCCACTTCCTTCCTGCCACCACCTGTTAACAGTCACATGCAGCAACTGGGGCTACAAAGATGATGACAGAACAGCAGTGGAGGGCCCTGAGAACAGACAGCAGAGATAATGGCTCTGTGAATGCCCCTAGGAGCCTGTCACAGTTTTCCTGTTGGACTTGGCATGGAGTTGCCATTGCAGCCATTCTTCTGCCTCCATGTGGGCTGCAAGGCATGGCATTCAGGATGGTTCTCTGAGGCATCTTTCATTTACCCTGGGCCTAGATCTTGACTGGCAAAGGCCACATGAGGCTAACTAATTCAAAGATTGGCACTTTGAACCCACCAGCTCCTCCAAGGTGGAAACACAAGGCAATCTCCTCCTGTTAAGATTTACAGCCTCAGATACCTGAGCCTCACCATGAGTTGGAATTGACTTGATGGCAGTGGGTTTGCCTTTGCTCTGCTGGAGAACTTGAAGCTACTCAAACAGTAGGGGACAAGGGGGTTGTTTTCAAAGGTGGATCTGCCTTACTGCCCATCCTCACTTCTTTCACAGAGCCTTAACGAGTCAACTTCTATTTATTGCTCTTAAGCAGTTATTTATGCTTCTCTGAAGTATCACCACCCAGGATTCATACCCACCCCTCCACCTTCAAGCCAGGCCACAGTTGGAGCTGTCTCAACCTAAGGGGAGGGTCTTGGCCTTGATGAAGGGAGGATCTTTCTCTTCTTAGCTTGCTTTGTGTCAGACTTTGGAAGCTGGAATGAGCAGATTAGCTGGAGGCAAGATCACAGCTCTTACCTTTGCCTATGCTTTATAAATGGTAAAGTGCTTTATATGTGTTGTTGTGTACTGGAGAGTTGGAACAGACCCACAGTTGATCCTTTGGTGGGCTTTCAGGGACAGTTAATCGCAGGGGAGGAGATTGCCCATCCTTCTCCCGCAGAGCAGCTGGTGATCTTGAACCAAGTGTCTTTGGGATTGCAGTGCAGCTTCTTGCCATGAGGCCACCAGATAATGGTTGTCATATATCCCTTTTCCCAGTCACCTTCAAGTTCTCTAAAGGGAAACCCTGGAGATTGCTAAGAAGAGAAAGAGAATATTAGATGTAGAATGAGAGAGATTGGAGATTTACTAAAGGTACATCCAGATGGTTGTAGGACATCCAGATGGTTGTAGGCTATCCCAGTGGTTCTCAATCCTGGCTGCATATGAGACTCATCCCAAGAGGTTTTAAGAAAGACTATGCCTTGGCCCAATACCCAACAGCTGAGTGGGTCAGTGGCAGCCAGTGTGGAGGCCACTGAAGCAGACAATACAGAGGACCTGTGTTGGGTGGTTAGTGGTAAATGGAAAGCTCTGAGAAGCCATAGAGTTTATCTTCCAGACCTTAAGGAAATTAGTGACTGTCATGGGACCTGGTGTTGGATTGCTTTTCTTGTTCTGTGTTGATCTTTGGCAAATCAGGTTATTCAGCTTTCTGGGCATCATTTTCCCTTCCTGTACCATGTGGCAGTTGGACTGGATATTCCCCAAGACCTTTCCAATCCAGTATGTTTCTTTGACATTTCAAGGTCAGTTTCATTCTCCAAGGTGCTACCAGTCCCTGGAAGTGTCATGCTTCTTTGTGATTATTGGCAGGGATTGATTTCCAAGGCAGATACGGCCCAGATGAGTTGGGGTGTTAGGATCTGAATTGGCCTAGACCCAGGCCCATCCTTTGAACTTTGGAACCCAACCAAAACTGTTCTCTGAATCCTATCTGTTCTGAAGAGTGTTTGGATCCTTAAAAGAACTTTTGTCTTCAGGTGGCAGCCACAGTGCCTGGGGACCTCAGCAGTTATGGCCTCCTGCCCAGACTCGGATAATAGTTGGGTACTTGCTGGCTCAGAGGTAGGCCTGGGAACCATATGAAAAAGAGGGGTTCCTGCAGGGCTGGGATGCTTTCTGGGCCTGTCCCTATCCTTGGTCTTGACAGTCACCTGCATCGTCACCTTCCAGAGCCAGGGAGGAGGAGATAAAATCTTGGGGGGGTCAAATGGGCTATGGCTATTGGAAAAGGCCTCATGGGGAAGGTGTTAGGGTTTAGGTTATGCTTTGAAGGAAAGGTGCTGTTTGGGGAAGTGGAGAGGGAGTTCCGGTGGGGGGGGGGACCATCCTGAGCTGAGGCCCGTGGTCAAGAGTGGAAAAAGCCCATACTGGAGAGATGGTAAGGAGGCCACGGGAGGAAGAGGGGACTTGTGTTAGAGCCCAGTGTTTGAGTAAGATTAAGGGTGGCACCTGGACCCCCTAGAAAAGACTTGAAGGGCCTGATGGACATATCTGGACTTTCCCTGATTGTAAACTCAGCAAGGATTTTTGAGGCAGGTGCCACGACAATCATTGGGAAGATGGTGATGGCACCGTGTGGGCTAGGTAGGAACAGGGAGAGTGTTTGATGGACTATGAATAAGGGAGACTGAAGAATTGATGTGTTTGAATTGTGGTATTGGTAAAGGTTATTGAACAGACCATGAGCTGTCAAAAGAGCACAGAAATCTGCCTTGAAGGAAGTGCAATCAGGGTGCTCTTTAAGAGACAGGGATGATGATGGCGAGCTCTGGTGGCCTAGTGGCAAGAAGCTGCACTACAATCCCAGAGGTGAGCAGTTCGAATCCACCAGATGCTCTGCTGGAGAAGTAGGGACAATCTCCTCCTGTACCAGTCAGATCCAATTTGACAGTATACACACCAAAAATAATAAAAAATAATAATAAAAAGACAAGGATGATAAAACTTCATCTTAACATACTTTGGCATCCTTGGAAAGGTAGAGGGTCAGCAAGAGAGGAAAACCCTCAACAAGATAGACTGACACAATGACTGCAGCTTAAGGACAGGGGAGAGTGGGAGGATGGTACAGGACCAGGGAAGGCTTGGTTCTGTTGTACTTGGGCCTCTATATGAGTCCAGTCAACTTAGCAGCTTCCAACAACAATGACATGGGCTCCAGGTCAGAGTTGGTAGTCTCTCGGGCTGCCTGAAGCTACCGAGGAGAGAGAAGAGGGCTGACAGGATGAGAGCCTGATTGGATGGAGGAGGATGGAGAAAATTTGTCAAACGGATAACTCAGCATTCCAAAACCTGTGACTTATTAGAATAGCCAGGAGAGGAGAAGGCGAGTCAGTGTAGACATGCCAAGTTTGGGGTACCTTTGAGGAGCTGAGTTGGAAGTGAGGGACCTCAGAGATCATACTGGAGCAGGGCACATAGATCAAGGCTGACTGGTGGAGGGAGCAGATGGCAAAGTCAGGGCCCTGGCTTTCTGTTGTGTTGCCTTTGCTGACAGTCACCAACACCCTTGGTACCAGCAGTCACAAGATCAGATGTGTTGGTCAAGTCTACTGTCAGGGACTTCTCCAAATTAATGAGGAGCAATGATGTCAGTTTGAGGACTAAGGTGCACCTGATTCAGGCCCTGGTCTTTTCTGTCACTTTCCTATGCGCCTGAAAGCTGGACAGTGAATAAGGATGACAGAAGAATTGATGCCTTTGAGCTATGGTGTTGAAAAGTACTGAATACCCCATGGACTGCCAGAAAGAGCAAATAGATATTTCTTGGAGAAAGTGCAGCCAGAATGCTCCTTGGAGGCAAGGAGGATGAAGCTTTGGCCCATGTACTTTGGGTAGTTTGTTAGGAGTAGCTGTTCCTTGGAGAGGGCCATCATACTTGCAAAGGTGGAGGGTCAGCAATGGAGAGGAAGGTCCTTATTGAGATAATTGACACAATGACTGCAACAGTAGGCCTGAGTGTGTCAGAGATGATGGAGATGGCCCAGGATAGGACAGGGTGTTGTTCATGCTGTTGCTATGAGGCCTACTAGACTTGACCTAATGATGATGACAATAACAACAGGTTATTGACCTTGCCTTCGCGGGGGGACATGCAGGGAGAGGCGAGGGTGAGGCTGCCTGCTCAGGGCTGGATGGCAGGCTGAGAACCTGAGACAAGGCCAGCCTCGCCATGGCTGGGCTGGACTGGGCTTCTGTGAGCACCTGCTGGAAGAGCAGTGGGTGAGGACATGTCTGCGGCCAGTGGGAAAGGCCAGAAGAGCTTGGAAGAAGTAAATGGGTGGTTACTCGTGTAAGAGCTGCAGGGAAGTTCCAGAGAAACAAAGCAGTGACCTTTGGGTGCCCAGGGGCTTCTGTTCTATTGCCACTGTCCCGATGCTAACTCATAACCAGGCTGTAGGGAAAGGAAGTACTGATGATTGTGGGTGGGTGGTGGTGGTGGTGGTGATGTCCCAGGCTGTGGCCAGCCTCTCTTAGAGGGTGTCATGTCTGTATGTTTGTTGCTGAGCTGCCTGAGTCACATCTTTGTCTCACAGTGTTTTTCATTTCAGATTAGGGGGGTGGGCAGAGGCTTTTATATCTGAGCTGAGGTGCCTGTTTGCCTCCCACCCACACTTCAGTTTGACTCACTACGCAGTTTATCTTTGTGAGGTACAGGCTGGGGTGCCTGAGTGACCAGCCCCAGGGGCCCCTCAGAGCACGCCATGCACCCAGCTTTGCCCTGCCGCCCTCTCTTGGGAGCAGCGCTCTGCTCACACTGCTTTCCTCAGAATCTGCCTGTGGAGACGCTGGGCCCCGAATCCAGGATGGACCCAGAATCTGATGTGGGCCCAAAGGCCCCTCCGAGCCTCTCTAAGACAACTGGTGAAAAGTTAGCTGGGACCGTGGATAGCGGAGGTAATAGGGCGCTGAGTGTGGGGGTGGAGCTATCTCGCTTCCATGTTCTGGGATTTCTCTGTTTCCTTGGAAAAAAGGGGAGGTTGGTAGGGCTGGTTAGTCTATTTCTCCCATTATTCTGTTTATGTTTCCTCATGTCATCTGGTTTTCTGGACTTTTTCATGCCCCTTCCAGCTGGGTAGGGGCTATGGGAGCTAGAGTTACAGAACTTTTGCTGTGGGGCGAGATAGTTCATGTTTTTTTCCTGAGCAGTTTCTCTCCAATGCAGAGGCCCTCCCCAAGAGTAAACTCTCTGAGTCTGAACCCACTTCTCCAGAGGAGACTGAGGCTAAGGTGAGGACCTTTGAGAGATTGAGGGGTACATGGGAAGGAAAGGGGAGATACTTACAGCCGTGTCTGCATTAGGGTGTCCTAGAAGGTGACGTTTGCAATGTGGAGTCCCCTGACCTGAGAGACACAATGACCCGGGATGATATGCAGGAGACCCTCGGGGTGGCAGACGTGGGATTGGACACACAGGGCCTGGAGGACCAGAGTGTTTCACAGAACCATCCTTCATCCCCCAAAGCAGGTGAGAGCTTTTTCCTGGTCTGCTTCAGTCACTTTCCTTCTAGAATCTAGGGGAATAGAAATGACTGTCTAGGTCCTGGGACATAACGGCTTGGTGCCTTCTTGAAATTACAGTTGTGAATCCTACCTCTGCCCTTTGAGGATACTGAAGCTCAGAGAACTTAAATGACTTGTCCATGTTCACACAGCTGCTGAGTGGCAGAGCCAAGCCTGGCTGGCTTTCGTTTCTGACACAGGGCCTTCTCTTTCTCTTTCTGTGCTTTTCTCTTTCTTTCTTCTTATCTCTATACTTCAGCCTTCATCCCCTGAGTCCCTTCCACATGCTGGCTCTGGGCCTGAGGGAGGGAAGGTAGGTGATCTGTGGCCTGTTTAAAATAGACCAAGATTGAGTGAGCCAAGATGTAAGTCAGACTTAAGAGCTGTACAAAAAAAGGAGTTATAATTTAGCTGCTCCCAGAGGAAGGGGTGTGTGTGTTCAATCAAGGGACAGGTTGATAGGAAGGAACAGTTGGGAAAAGGTTCACATTGGAGGTGATATTTGAACAGAGCCTTGAACAAAAGATAGACTGTTGGTAGGTAGGGTCACAGAGAAGAGAATATACTAGGCCAAGGCAAAAGTGTGGGAACTATTCTCCATGTGGGCCATTCTAGGAGAGTGGTCCTGAGGGAAGAGGAGATAGGGTTGGAAAGAGGAATTGGGGCCAGGTTGGATAGCGTTTCATGTCCCATGTAAAGGAACTTGTGTTTAAGGTGGTAGAGAGGTGGCATGAATCCATCTCCACTGTAGAGTAGGGGGCAAGAATGAGGCTGGGAGGACCATTTAGGAGACAACTGTAGTGGTGGTCGAAGGAGATGGAGCCCTGAACTAAGGTGGTTTCAGTGGGAGTTGAGAAGAGAAGCAGATTGATGATATGTTCATCAAGACTTCTTGTCTGGGTTTAGGGTGAAGAGAGTAGGCTTGGGCTTGATGGTATCACTGGTACTTGAGGAACACCAGAAAAAACCAGTCTCTTGAATGTTTGGTCCCTGAGAGACATCCAGGTGGATGAGGCCTGTAGGTACACATAAAATTCTGGAACTTAAAGGAGACCAGGTCAGGAGTTCTAGACCAGGGACTCGTCATCTGTAGGGATGTGTAGATGGTAACTCTGATGAGAGGCACTAAGAACCAGAAATGGTGCCAGGGAGACTCACCTTGGGACAGAGAATAGAAGGGAAGGAGGTCGAGAATGGCTAGAGTTAGGAAGGAAACCAGCTCTGCCCAGTGGGAATAGCTGTCAGGGGCTTGATGAGGAGGAACATGTTGGAAGAAAGAGACTATATTAGGATGAAAGTAACTCTTGTAGTTTGTGGATGGACAAGGCTGGTCTCTGGCCCCTTCTGGACTGAGTAGACAAGGCAAAAGTGGGCAGGGCCTTCCTGTGCTCCCCTCCACAGCCGGGATGGGGCCTCCATTTTCCTCTCTTAAGCTCTGTCCCTCCAGCTGCCTCACTGTCCTGTTCCCATCTTTTCCTCAGCTTGGGTCACAGAGGAGCTCCGCTGTTCCAGCAGCGATGATGACACCGACATAGATGTGGAGGGCCTGCGGAGACGCCGGGGCCGGGACCCCAGCCCTCCCCGGCCCTCGGCACCCATGGGTGTGGAGGACCAGGCGGGGAATGAGGGCGTGTCTCGGGAGCTGGGCATCTCTCTCAACATGTGCCTCCTCGGAGCTTTGGTTCTGCTGGGCTTGGGGATCCTCCTCTTCTCTGGTGAGTGGTGCCCCTGATATGGCCTGGGACCCCTTCTCTGTCTCCACTTGCCTTTTGGCCTCTTGTCACCTTCTCAGCCTGTCACCTTCCCCCCCCCCCCCCGGGTCTTTTTGGACTCCTGTGTCTTCATCGTCAGGTGGCCTCTCGGAGTCTGAGCCGGGTGAGTGGAAGGGCCCTGGCTTTTGTGTGGCGTCCTGTCCCACATGGAGGGAGGCTGTGATCGGGAGGGCACGGTTTCTCTGGGTCAGAAGTAGATGTGCAGGTACTGGGAGTGTGCTCGTTTGTTGCTCCGTTATTGGCCTTGTTGGTTGGTCAGGCTGATCCTCGGTCCTTTGTTTCACTGGATTTCTAAGCCATCAGCCTGGTTCAGGGCAGAAAAGGGAAGTATGTGCATGTTGGGATGGAGTAGCCACTGTGGGTTCCTTTTATGGCCTGAGACACTCAGAGGATTTGGTTCCCCATCTCCCACCTTGTACCAGACTCCACATCCATCCTGGGCTTCAGATCCTCTGTCCTTGGCTAAACAAATTTTTAAAACTGAAGTAAGGCTAGCCAGTATGTGGCTCCCCTCCCCTCCCTGAACGCAGAATCAAGAAAGTGCATTGCTATCAAGTCAGAGCCGATTCATAGGTGACGCTCCAGCTGGTTACTGAGGGTGTGAATTGCATGGGAAGAGACTGCCATCTTCCTCCTCAGGAGCTGCTGGTGGACTCAGACTGCCAGAGAGGCACTGCCTGTGGGTTAACAGTGTAACTCCCTACCGACAAGGCCACTAGAGCTCCCTCCTTCCCTGAGCAGACATTGTTCATGGAGCATAGCACTCCTCTCCCACTGAGCCGGTTTCAGGACCTCTCTTTCCCAAAGGGCCCATGGAGGAAGTGGACCTGCAGGTCTTGCCGGATGCTGGGTCGGATACTGAGTTGCAGGATGCTGCAGGGGATGGGCAGGTATGTGTATGTCTGTAGGTGTGTGAGGTCTCGTGGGGGAGACTGGGCCTGCATGGGGCAGTGGGACAGGATGGGGTGACTGATTCCTCTGACCTCAGGAGGGGCTAAAGGAACAGCTGCAGGTGCCCCCTGGCAGTGTCCCCAGCCTGCAGAACATGGCCCTTCTATTAGACAAGCTGGCCAAGGAGAATCAGGACATCCGGCTGCTGCAGGCCCAGCTGCAGGTGGGCAAGGGGGGAAGGGATGGCTGGGCCAAGTTTCTGCCCTAGTGTCTTTCTCACAAAAGAATGTCTCCTGTTGCCCCATCTCCCACACCTTGACCCTCTTCTTTCCCCAGTCCAGTCAGGGTGTCTTCCCAAATCTCTAGTCACATCCATCCCTCAGGCTAAGGTTTAAGCCTGGGTTGTCCTGTCTGTTCCATGGCATGCCGCTTCTGATTGGAACATCAGCCTGGAGCACTGTGAGGAGAGGTGTTTGAAGAGCACGCTAGGGCTCAGCAGGAATGAAGTGCTGTGCTCAAGTGACAGAGACTGATGTGGGGATGGGCGGTGAGGGCAGGGCAGTGACAGCCACATGCTGTCACTGTTAGATTTAGGTAAATCTAAATAGAAGCTGAGGCTCAGGATAGAATTAGGGGATCTGTGGTCTGGTGCAGGGTAAGTTTGTGGAGTAGGGTGAAAGCCATATTTGAATGCCTCAAGCCCACCCATCATGACAGCAGGGAATTGAGGTCATGGGCACTTGGCCCATTCTGACCAGAGCTCCTCTGGTGCCCCCTCCATTCCTGCCCCATCCTAGGCCCAGAAGGAAGAGCTCCAGAGCCTGATGCACCAGCCCAAAGTGCTGGAGGAGGAGAATGCCCGCCTCCGGGGAGCCCTACATCAGGGTGAGGCCTCCCAGCGGGCCCTGGAGTCTGAGCTGCAGCAGCTTCGGGCCCGGCTCCAGGGCCTGGAGGCTGACTGTGTCCGGGGTCCAGATGGCGTGTGCCTCAGTTGGAGCAGAGGCCCGCAAGGTGGCAGGGCCTCTGAGGGACAAGGCCCCAGGGGACAGGAGCCAGGCCCTGGCTTCTTGGAGCAGAAGGAGCAGCTAGAGGCTGAGGCCCAGGCACTAAGGCAAGAGCTGGAGAGACAGCGACGGCTTCTGGGGTCTGTGCAGCAGGACCTGGAGCGGAGCTTGCGGGAGGCTGGCCGCGGGGATCCAGCTCATTATGGCCTGGCCAAGCTGGGCCATAGACTGGCTCAGAAGCTACAGGACTTTCAGAGCTGGGGCCAGGATCCTGGGGTCCGTGCCAATGCCTCAGGGCTCCAGGGTCAGGATCTCCACTTCCACAGTTCCAGAGAGCGAAATGGGAAAGAAAAGTGGCGCGATGGACAGGGGGACAGGAAAGCTGAGCATTGGAAGCATAAGAAGGAGGAGTCCGGCTGGGAGGGTGAGAGGGACAAGGAGCATGCAGGGAAGTGGAAGGAGGGTAAAACAAGGATGGAAGAGTGGGCCAAGAGGGATGGCAAGCAACAAGGTTCCAAGGAGCCCCCCAGGAAAAGTGGGGGCTCTTACTACCCTGGAGAAAAGCATAGGCATTCTTTGTGGAGGGAAGGGGCCAAGGACAAGCATGAGGTCCTGACACCCTGGGCCGAGCTATCAAGGCACAAGTACCGGGCTCCCCAGGGATGCTCAGGTGTGGATGAGTGTGCAAGGCAGGAAGGCCTGGCTCTCTTTGGCATAGAGCTAGCCCCAGTTCGGCAGCAGGAACTAGCCTCTCTGCTGACCACATACCTGGCGCGGCTGCCCTGGGCTGGACAGCTGACCAAGGAGCTGCCTCTCTCACCTGCTTACTTTGGTGAGGATGGAGTCTTCCGTCATGACCGGCTCCGGTTCCGGGATTTTGTGGATGCACTGGAGGATAGCCTGGAGGAGGTGGCAGTGAGGCAGACAGGTGATGATGATGAGGTGGATGACTTTGAGGACTTCATCTTCAGCCACTTCTTTGGAGACAAGGCACTGAAAAAGAGGTGAGGCACAGTTGGGGTGCTACATCTGGTGAGAGGTGGTGGATGGGGGTTGAGGTGGATATAAAAGGGCTCTGGGGTGAAGAGGGGCTTAAGTTCATTCTCTTCTAGTCATCCGTAGGCTTCTCTTAGAGAAGGCATCCAGGTGATAGTTGGGGCTTCTGAGAGCAGCCCATTCTAGAGTAATCCTGGGGGTTCCCCCTTATGAACTAAGGGAATTTTCCTGCCCTCCATCTACCAAGGGTGAGAGATTACTCTCTATCTTCCTGCCTCCTTAACTAGAGCTTTCATCTTGGGAAGTCATTCTAGGCTCTAGTGTTGCGTTCATGAAGAACCGGATCTCTCTCCACAGGGAGCCATTGATTATCATGGGGTATTGTGCTCTTAGGGCCTCTTTCTCCTTACTCCATTATTTCTCCACAGGTCAGGAAAGAAGGACAAACATTTCCACAGTCCCAGAGTCTTTGGGCCCAGGGAAGAGCACAGCCACCACCACAGCCACCACCACGGCCACCACCGCAGGGGTTGAGTCCGCCCCATCGGGGCTTCTGGCCACTGAGCCAGCCACGCCCCTCACCCCGGCCAGCCACGCCCCTCACTCCCTCAGGGGCTTAGACTGTAATGAGTACCACCTCCCCTGGCTTGCTCTGCTTGCTTGGTGTCCTTGGTAGAGGATCGAACTAGAGGAGAGCAGCGAAAGCATCCACACCTGCACTGATGCCACTTTTGCTAGAAGGGGCTTTAAGTGGACCTGCTGTGCTGTCTATATAAATGTGTACAAATGAGCAGGCCTAGGTCTGGATCTTGGCAACCTGAAAGTGTATTAATGTGAAGTGGGAAGATGGGAGAGGAGCCTGATTTGTTTTCTTTTTAAATGGGGAGGGAGTGGGTAAGAGGAGGTTGCATTCTGATTGTGAAGGCAGAGTTTTTGTCCTCTTTTGTGTGTGTATAATCCCTTCTGGCCCCTCCCTGCCCTTGTGCCCACTGGGGATTGATCAGAGTTGTTGTCTGGAGTCCTAGCAAGAGGAGCATGATGGTGAAGCGTCTTTTTTCTCTCTGCCTCTCACCTGGCCTTACCTCCTCTTGTGAACTGTAGACTTAGATGCCAATAAAGTTGGAGCTATGACACTGGGTGGGGCCTCTGTCACTTGGGGTAGTTTCTGAATGAAGGGGTGCCAACACCTACCACTGTCCTGATACTTGCCCTCTTCTTCCATTTGCCCCTTTCCTGGTCACCCTACACTGTCAACAAACCCCAGCTTCCTGGGTTGTGATGCCTACATTTTGCTCACAGTTTCCCTTGCTGTACTTCTGGGACATATAGAAAAAGGTGAGGGTTTTAGGGTCTTGAGTTCTTTATGCTAAAAAGAAAAAAAGTAATTTAGCTTTCTTTTTTTAAAAAAACATGTGTGTGTGTGTGTGTGTGTGTCTCTGTGTGTGTGTGTGTGTGTACTGTCAAATCGGACCTGATTGGTACAGGAAGAGATAGTCCCTCCTTCTCCAGCAGAGCATCTGGTGGATTTGAACCACATGCTTCTGAGATTGCAGTACAGTTTCTTGACACTAGGCCACCAGAGCTTGCCCCATGCTTAGCTTTCCATGCCTATTAGAGCAGGTGATGGGAGCATTGGTATCACTAAGGGTAGTGTCCTACCTGACGTGGACTGCCTCCCGTTTCAGACCATGTAGAATCCTTAGCAATTTTCCTTGCACCTCTGGTAGTATAGACCCTAGTGGTTGTGCTGCTAACCAAAGGGCCAAGCATATCAGGTGGTTTGAATGCACCAGTAGTTCTGTGGGATAAAGATCTGTTAGGATTGTATCACAATGAAAGAATTTTTTTTTTCTTCAAAGAGAAGGTGAACTGGGGGGAAGGGGTGGGCAGGGAGGAAAATATGCAACAATGAATGGAGAAAAAATTAAATGGAAAGAATATGCTGTAAAAAAGATGTATTTTGCATTAAAAATCATTAATTTAAAAAAAATATTTACAGCTTTGAAAACCTACTGGTGAGGTGGGGTGTAAGTCATTGTAAGTCAGAATTGACAGTGAGCAAGTGAATGTTATTCATAAATCACTGAATGTAATGGCAATAGTAGTGACAACTAGCAAAATTGAAGTTATAATTTTAAACTACAATAGCTGGTGTAGATGAACCTGATTTGAAGCATCATTATAACTGTTATGTGTCATCGAGTTGCTTGCGACTCATAGCGACCCTATGTACAGCAGCCCTAAACTCTGCTCTGTCCTCTGCCAATTGCATTGTCTCTGATACACCCATCCCCATTACCCCAGTCCCTGAATCAACCCACCTCATAGAGGGTCTTCCTCTCCTGCGCCATCCCTCCACCCTCCCAAGAATGATGTCCCTCTCCAAGGACCTGTCCCTTCTTACAACATGTCCAAAGTATGTTAGATGGAGCTTCAGAATCCTTGCCTCCAAGGAGCCGCCCGGCTTAACCCTTTCCAGGATGAATCTGTTTGTTTTCCTAGTTAATGATGATTAATAATAATGATCATTGAAATTAATGGTAATAATGATAGTTCTGACAGTGCATTATTATTGTTGGGTACCATCGACTTGAAACTGACCCATCGCTGACCCTCCAGCAGATTTTCAGAGGCAGTTAAGTGCAAGGAAGTAGGTTGCCTGTGTTTCAGCGCGGCTGGTGGATTGGAACTGTGTGCCTTTAGTTTGTAACGCAACTTCTTATCACTAGGCCACCAGAGCTCCCTGACAGTGTTAGGAAGGTTCATAAAGGAGATTATTGTTTTGTGCTGTCAATTCAGAACTGTTTTGTAGCTGATCCTCCAGCAGGTTTTCAGAGGCAGTAAATCACATGGGAGGAGATTGCTCATTTTTATCCCACAGCTGGTGGATTCAAACTACCTGCCTTTGGGTTGGCAGCACAACTCCTTACTCAGTAGCCCACTAGAACTCCATAGAAAAGAAATTAGTATTGCATTTTTTTAGCCTTGTAAGTATATGAAGATGTGCGTGTAATTCAAATCTACCTGCTGCTCTGAGGGAAAAAGAAGGGGAATCTCCTCCCATCCTGTTCACTGCTTCTAAAAACACATTGGAGGGTCAGCCGTGAGATGGTTCCAACCCAATGACACACAACATGCATTTTTTAAAAAATTGCAGTCACTTTGATGTTAACACTTTTAACAGTGTCACGAGATGTGGTCTGCAGTCATCCCCTCCGTGCTCTAGGGACGCTGCTGTGTGTGGAGGAGACAACCACACTCTCTCTAGCTCTGCGGTCCCCGGGATCTCACATTGGGAAGGCCTGGCAGCCACTAGGTGGCGCCCTGGCTTCACATTTTCGTCACACCTACCCTCCTGCCCCCACTACCTATCTACTAATTTCCAGAAATTTCGGACCCCGCCCCAGTGTCCGTGGACTGAAGTCAGTGGCTAGGGTTAGGGTTAGCTCTTTCAAGGAGACTCAGCCTTCTCCTGGCTACTCTAGGAAGTCCTTGAAATCTCACCTTCTTGACCACACCCTGGGTCTTTGACTCTCTTGGAAATCCTCCAGTCATTGCAGGGGGCAGAATGACTGTGATTTCTCAGGTCAGAGCTGGCTATGCTGTTGGTTAAGGAGAGGAAACAGTGCAGACCCCAGAATGAGCTGTGATTGATTTCTGTATTATTTAGAAAAGGCATATGCTTTTTCCAGCGTGGTGGTGGCAACAGAGCCAGGACCTTTCCTTGGCAAAGTCCGTTACATACCAGAATAGCGAAGCCCAGAGACCCTTCAGGGAGCTTCTAGTCCAGCCATACTCCCTCACTCGTTGCTGTGGAGTTGGAACCTCCTCAGAGCTGACCCTCCACAGGGTTTCTGTGGCTGTATCGCCTGCCTTGCTGCTCTGGAGCCTCTGGTGGATTCAAACCACTGGAGAGCTGTGGCTTTTGGGTTAGCAATGCAGATCCCGATAGATTTGTCCACTAGAGTGGAGAGGGCTATTGCCTGCTTTCTGCGGTGAGAAGGACTCTAGTTAGACCCAAGGAAGAATTTTTTTTTCACAGGCAGAAGGTCATGACAGAGGCTGGGGCGTCAGGGTGTGTAGGAAGGAGTCTTCCATTTTGGGAGGGGCATCAAGTTGACCTAATTTTAGTCAGTTCAGTTCTCTGTCCAGATTCCCAACTGAAAACCAAACCTAACAAGTTGCCTGTCGAGTTGGTTCCAACTCATGGGGACCTGTGTGTTTGAGAGTCAAGCTGTGCTCCACAGAGTTTCCATTGCCTCTCATTTTTGGAGTGGCTTGTCGAGACTTGCTTCTGTGGTGCCCTCTAACCTTTGGCTCAGAGTCATCATGCTCATTTACTGTTCACACCACCTGGAGACTGCCTTAGCTTAAAGTTTCTTGCTGCCTGCAGCTGAGTGGCAAACCCTGGAGAGGCTTTCAGGAAGACAGGATTCAATGTTCTGGGGCTGATGTGTAGGACTGAGCCTAGGGTAAGGTATTGACTCTTATTCCGGCTACTTGGGCTTCTCAGTTTCGTTTCTAGGGCCCATTGTCTTCGTTTGCATAACGAACCCTGGGGGAGGCTGAATGTTTCCTCCAGGCCCCCATCCTCTTCCTTCCCCACTCAGGAAGTGGATACGCTGAGCTGGAGGTTTCAGAAACTGCTGAATCAGGAAGAAAAGGCCATGAACCTTAGGGGGTTTTGGGGGAAGGCCGGGGTAACAGGAACATGGGCCACTCCAATAATCCCCTTCTCTCTGGGTACTTCTAGGGAGTGGTTCTCATGCTCTCACCTCACACTGTGCACCCACAGCAGCACTGAGGCCACAGGATGCACCCCATGGCCTTGGCCCAGCCTGTGGGGATGAGCTAAGGGGGCTGGAGGTGGGGGGACAGCCCTGCTGGCCACTGCTTTCTGGGTTTGGATTCTTGGGTTTGGGTTTGCTCCTGTCCTGGAGGCAAGGCTGGGGCGGTGGGGGCCTAGCGGACCCTGCCACCCATTCTTACTTGACCTCTGGTCTGGTCTGGGCTCTTGCACTTGACACTTGCATTTGGCTCTTCTGCCAGTTCCCCCACCCCACCCCAGAAATGATGCCAGCTCCCCCCCGGGAGGGACTTGCCAGCCTAGGAACCCAGGGCCTCGGGGAAAATCACTGGAGTGATTGGTCTTCTTGGGCTGCGCCTTCTCTGGTGGAAAAATTCTACTTTCCTTGGCCAGTACCCAAAAGCCATTTCCCATCTTTCCTCCCAAACTGCATTTTCTCTCCACCATCCCTGTTCCTCATTCTTCAGTTCATACTTCCTCTCTGAAGTTTCTCCAGTCCTCTCTCCCCTATAACTCTCATCTCTCCTTTCTATCACCTCTGTTCCCACTGGTCTTCTTACCTCTGCAGCCTCTCCCTGTCCCGCTAGGTCTTCCCAGGCCCCAGTCTTTTCTCAATGCTTGCTCCTTTCATCCTCTTGCGGTGGCAGGTAGCTAGTATGGAACACCTTCAAGCCTGTAACAGCCCCATCAGCTCTTCCAGGACCAGAGAGGCTAGCATGCCTATTGA